CCAGAGAGATGCACAGCTTGAAGCCCTCAGGGGCAGCTCTCCCTGCCCTGTCCGTCCTGTGAGGCAGACCTGACCACATGGCAGTGGGTTGGGCTGGGTTTTGAGAGCCCGGGCTTGACCCTAGGTTGAACATTGTCACCCCACTTCATCCTCATCACTGGCTTGTGGGGGAAGAGGTGTCCCCCTCCAATGAGAGACTCAGGGAGATCGAGTGACTTCCCCAGGTCTCACAACGGTATGGCGAGAATCTGGTAGGGACTGGGGCCTGGATCTGTTTACCGCTAGCTCTCAAGTCCCTCTTCCCGATGTCCCTTGCCCTCGAAGAAGCACTCATTGCTGCCTCTAAGAAACATCCCTGACCACAAGGGCCGCGCGAGATATGATGGAGCCTGGGAACAGCAGGCTGCAAAACGTGGACAGAACCCCGGGTGAGGCACGGACCATCCACGAATGAAGACAGACACGGGCCACAGAGACAGGCAACACCGCGCGCCCCTGCGTATGGAGACAGGGGAGTCCGAGGACAGCCCCCAACTATTAAGAGCAGCAGGGGCCGAGGGGCGGAAGCATGGCTGACTGTGTTCTCCTTGAAGCTTCTCCCGGGGCCCTGGTGGTGTTGCGTGGGCTCCGTGTTCGGCTGCTCACCATGAAGTCAGTGGTTCAAAGCCGCCAGCCGTGCCTCGGGAGAAAGACGAGGCTTCGACTGCCGTGGAAACCCACAGTCTGGGAAACCCACAGGCCGTTCTGCGCTGACCTCTAGGAGCACTGTGAGCCCGAGTGGACTCCACCGCAGGGAGTCCAGTGGGCTCGCTTCTCCGTCATTTTCAAGGTTCCCTGGTGACGGCGGCGGGGGCATTGCTCTGACGGTCAAGAGGCGAACAAACTCCCTGCCCCTAAGACGGTTCCAACTCAGAGCGACCCTACTGGACAGGCCGGAGCGGCTCCTGTGGGCTTCCCAGACAGCCACTCATCATAGAGGTAGAAAGCCTGGTCTTTCTCTCGAGCACCGGCAGGTGGTTTCAAACTGCTGACCTTGGGATCGACACAACCCCGGAGCCACCGGGGCTCCACCCTCCCATCACGGTCATTTGAAGCAGACAAGCCACGTTCCCAACAATCCAGGCCTTCCCCGTGACCCGTGGTTCTCGTGACCAGGGAGGGACCAGGTTTCACTCCTCCAGGGCAGGTGCTTTCTTGATCATGTGCGTGCCATCTGGCCCACAGTCTCTTCCACGTCTTTTCAGGTGACCCTCTCCCTACTCTGTGCGTAGGGTCACCCAACCTCTACTACACGCAGGCCAGATGGGGCCACTGGACACAAGGGCCCCGAAATCCAGTAGCCACCCGAAGGTGTGGGCTCTGCCCGCTGCTTGTGCTCAGAGCGCAGTGGAGGCTGCCCTGCCTGGGCAGGGGGTGCCGGTGGGAGGGCACTGCCTTCCGGCTCACCTTCAGCATCTCCACTTTGCGGAAGGACAGTCCCCGAGGGAAGCTCAGGCCCAGGAGAGCCCAGTAAGCATCTTCTCCCCGGTTTCTCAAGGTCAGCTCTACGGACAGGCTGGCAGAGGGGGTCAGACGCAGACCTTCGGATCTGGGGAGATCAGGGAACCGTTCTGGGGTCAAGAAGAGGGGGGGACTTGGGGGGCCAGAAGGATCTGTTAGGGCCAGAGGGAACTACACAGCAAGCGAGCGCCTGAGGGTCCTGACGGGCATTCCGCCAGGCTGGTGCCAGTCCTGTTTCTCAGGAGGAGATGGAGCCCAGAGACGGGCACCAGCACCCCCTGACCATGCAGCCAGGGGATGAGGTGGGGAGTGCAGGTCTTCTCAGGCCGCAGCAGCCGCCTCAATGAAACACAGGGGTGGGACACCACGGCGCCGCACTGACCTGGCCGGGGAGAAAGACAGCTCCAGGTCTGCCTCACACTTCTTGTCTTCACCACAGTTCTTTTCAAAGGGGATCTGGAGGACCGAGGAGAAAACCCTAAGAGGGCTGGGCCCAGAACCCCGGAGGGTTCCTGTGCCCGGTGTCTCTGCCTGGCCCGCACCCCTCTCACCTCCTTCGTCTCCAAGTGTGGGGAGGGTCTCAGGATGGGCCGTGAGCGCATGTCCTTGCCCTGCTGTGCAGAGAGGGGTGGGAGGGCAGGGGGACAGGAGAGAGGGCTTGAGGTCATGGGGTTCATGGAGAAGGGCGGGTGAGAGGGGCTCAGGGCAGGCCCCACTCTCCAGCCTCCGTCTCAGCCCAGCAGTTGGGGCAGCCTTCCTGTCTGGGGCAGCTCCCCGAGCCATGGCAGCTATGGGTGTCTCAGCCCCTCTTCTGGGCAGAAGAGCTGGGCGCTGGGGGAGCAGGTTCCAACAGCCCCTCCCACCCGTGGCTTCTTTTCTTTCCGTGGCTGAAGCCCCTTGCTCCCCAGTCTCGGAGCTCATCTGTCCACCGATCGTTCTCCTCTGAGCCATCTCCCACCCCCACCCCCCACCCCCAGGCTCACCCTCACCTGTCAGAGCAAGGTCAATGCTTCCCAACATTTCTGCTCTGCTCTAGACTCGACCTCGGGCGGGCGGGGTATACACTGGGTACACACGCGTGCACACACTGGACATGCAGTCCCCCTTCCAACACGGGGGCAGGAAGGTGCAGGCATTTAGGACTGAGGGATGAAGGGCCTCATGCGGAGGCGAGTACAGGTACCTCAAGAGCACGTCACGTCGAGGGGACCCTACCCCAGAAACGGTCCCCTAAAGAAATGCTCTATCCCCCCCACATGCACTAAGCCTCCGGGGAACCCCCTCTGACCACACTGAGGGGTGTGAACGGCTACCCTCTCACATGGGGCACCTTGTAGAGCCGACTGTGGTGGGGCAGTGAGGTCAAAATGTAATGCCTTAGCACGTGTCTCCCTTTTGATCCATTTTAAAGTTGTTTCAGTTAAAAAAAAAATTGACGGGGAAATACACGTGGATGAAGCTTCCAGTGGCCCCCCTGTGATCAAAGACCGGGATGGGAACATCCTTGCTGTCCTGCAGAACGCCCCAGGAAGTGGATTATCGCAGATGCAATTTGCCTAAAATTGAACCCTGATCATTTGATCTCTCTTTCGATCTGTGCTAAATCTGTTCTGGTTTTTAGTGTTTTCTCCTTGCTTTTCGATCGCGGTTTCTCCTCTGTTTTATTTTCTTGTTGTTGGTTTCGTTGTGGATGATTTGGGGTATGATTTTTGTATAGGAAAACCAGGAGAGGTAACTCTACAGAGACAGTCACTAGATGAATAGTTCCTTGGGGAGGGGGGTCTGGAAGGGAAAGTGGGGTGGGGGAGAGAATGAGGAGCCAAGAACACCAGTACAAGAAAGAAGAAAATGTTCTAAGATTGACTGTGGTAATGATTGTACAACTCTTGTTAACAGGATTGGACTGCTGAATTGTATGATAGGTGAATTTCATGTCACTCAAACTGTTTTAAGGAATGGAACAGGGGGAAAAAGGAGACCGAGAGAAAATGTTATCTCACCAGAGACTCAAGGATGTGTGGGAGGGAGCTGGCTGAAGAGACAGAGAGTAAGGTATGCAGGGGCCACGCACCTGGAGCAGTGGGGTGCTCTGACTGGGTCCAGGCCCCCCTGGGCCTTGGAAGGCATGCTAGGGAGAGGGAACTTAATCCTGAGTGACGGGGACCAGGGGAGGGCTTTACAGGTGGTGAGTGTTTGGTATTAGAAAGACTGCAGCCTCCGGACTCCTCCTTGTGAGGTTGGGGTGCTGGAAGCCCCCTGCTGACTGCTCGTCACCCACCCTCCGCATTCCCACCCACGCTTCCCACCTCCAGCTTCTAGGCCAGCATCCAGAGACACGAAGACTGTAATCAGTGTCCTGGAATTGTACCTGTAGAAATGGTTGAGTTGGCCAGTGTTTTGTCGGGTGTATTTTTACCGTAATAAAACCAACGAGCAACCAAACACACTGTGCCAACCTCCTGTGGTGCACGGAGTTCCTTCACGCAGCCTTTTGTCTTTGGGAAAACCAACCGCTTGAGAGATTTGCCCTTCAATTCTGAGCAGTTGCCCTCATTTGCCACTCAGGGGTTTGGTCTTTTTGCCCAGGGTGTCCTACTGCCCCTGTTCCCTGCCCCCACCCCCCACCCCCATTCTACAGCTACAGCCCTGCCAGCCTTCTTACCGCCTGACGGTCCCTTGGTATCCCCTCCTCCTCCCAAAGTGAGAAATTGAGGGAGACGTTGATGGGAGAGATGAGGTCTTGGATGCATACCTGAGGGTGATAGAAGAAGATTACCTGTGTCAGGAGGACTTTGATGAGACGTGTGCCCGTGGGAAACTAACACTTAGGAAAATGTGGCATGGACTCTAGTCCCTGACTTAGAACAGAGGGAATCTGGAAAGCTGGTCTTCCACAGTAGGAAAGCCACCACGTTGGTAAGTTCGAGGTAAAGTCCAAGTACATGATCTTGCTTTAAATATCATTCCCATGATTCTCCCCTAACAGCTGTGCTGCCTTAAAGGGAGCACATGGTTGATTTTATCTCCCTGCAGAAGCAGACATCCTGTTCTCTCCTCCCCCCTCATGCCTTCCCCCAATGCAGGCATTAGGTCCCCTCACCTGTGAGCTCAGGGACTTTACAGTGCCGACCACCCACCTCGGTGACGTATATAACTACTGAATATGCATGTCTTATAGCAACCTATATATATCCCAAGACAGTAAAGACGCTCTCTCCTGCTCTCTCTTCTCCCACCTCTACGTGGACCACCGAGGGGGGCAGAGGTGAGCATGCTACCATGACATGTGTCTGACTCCTTTATTTTATTCTCTCTCCTATCCTCTCTGACTTTACTGTCACCTGTATGTGTTATCCCCGTGCAATTGTGCCTGCGGACCCCTCGGTTGTTAGAGGCTGGTTTCCACTGACCGTGGGCCTTGTTCACATTTCAATGGCGACGAAATTCCAGATCTTAGCTGCCTGGGCTCTTACCAGTAGTGGGGATTGTAATAATAGCTACAGTTCACCACTTCTCAGGGGTTCAAGAAGATACTCAGCGTGGCTTCTCAGCACAGACTGTCACTCCTCAGTGCCAAGTCCCGGGAGGTGCCGGACTTCATTGACAATACTTTTCTCCATCGAGCTCTAATGGCAGCCATTAGCACTCAACGAATGTTTGCAAAAAGAATATTCTAGAATAATTAGAGAATCCTCGTTCTGAGTATTAGTGCCTTGAGAACATGAGCTGTTCTCAAGATGAGAGTGGAGTCTCCGTCTTCTCTCTGTTTTTTTTTGGCACTGTAGGCGCACTCAAATGTATTGCACTAAAGTTTCCACCCACCCAACCCACCAGGGAGGGATGAGTGTGAGCCACACGATGTCTAGAGAACTAGGCAGTGACGGGGTCAGGACTTGAACCCACATCTACTCCAAACTCCGAGGTTCTCCCACTGTGTCATACTGCCTTCTTCTCCAGCAAATGGATGTTCAGATGTCTGAAATCATGTTTGGAAGTAAGGCGGGGAGGGGCAGAAGAGATCAGAGGGCATTGGACGGAGCCATGAATTACGAATGAAATAAGATTCGTTGGGAGTGTATAACTGTGGAAATTTGCAATAGCTATATGGGGATTCATTAAACTACTCCATCCCCTCCCACTTCTGTGTATATTTGAAATTTCCCAACATAAAATGTTTCAAACAAGTTTCAAAAATCATAGGCCACAGTGTTATGCTTGGTCTCATATGGACTATTTAAGAGACCAGAATGACTTTGTATCACTTCTGTTTTCATACAGGACTGTCACCACGCAAGGTGAATCTGAAAGGTTCAACAGTCATTGAAACTCAGGTTTAAAAAACCCTTTCTGGGGCGGGTGTTAATAATAAAGGATCATTTATACTTGGCAAAGAATGGTTCAGCATCTTGGCTGAATACTCTGTGTAAGTGAACATTCTGTAGTTACTAAAACTAGGAAGGAGCCCTGGTGGTGGAGTGGGTTATGTGCTGGGCTGCTACCCACTCAAGGTCAGCAGTTCGAAACCACCAGCCGCTCCGAGGGAGAAAAATGAGGCTTTCCGAGTTGGAAGCCTTGTAAAGAGTTGCAGTGTGGGAAAATCCACAGGGGTGGTGCTACCCTGTTCTACGGGGTCACCATGAGTCAGAATTGACGTGGTGGCAGCTACTTGGTTCTCAGTGTGGGTGACTTAGAGTGACCCTGCAGGACCTAGTAGAACTGTCCACACCTTAGGGAAACAACACACCTAGGGAAGCTGCGCCAACAGCGCTTACATAGGATGTGTGAAAAAGCCGTAAATAGTTTACAGTCAAAATCATGTTCGAGTTGCAGGCTGTGGTTCTCAACCTGTGGGTCGGGACCCCTTTGGGGATCCAACAGCCCTTTCACAGTGGTCGCCTAAGACTATCGCAAAACACGTATTGTCGATGGTCTTAGGAAGGAAGACACCACTCCTCTATCGTCTCCAGGCGGTCCGCCTACATGCAGATTACACCCGCCTAGAGTACCCGGCATGAAGACTGTTCCCCGTGCTACACCATGCTTCAAGACAAAATGTCATATATTTGTCATGAGAAATAAATAGTTCACAATATAGAATGACATCTTGTTTTTGTGATTCATCACCATGCTTTCCTGATGTTCGGTTTGTAACCCTGAAGATACATCCTGCCTATCAGATATTGACATGACGACCGATCCATCACAGCAGCAAAATGACAGCGATGAAGTAGCAACGAAAATAATGTTATGGTGGAGGGGTCACCGCCACAGGCGGAACTGTCTGAAAGGGTTGCAGCATGAAGAAGCTTGAGAACCGCTGGCCCAGAGGAAAGCAGACGCACGGCAGTAAGTCCTGCACCCTCAATGCTACAGGGGAGGGAATGTTCTTCCAAGAGCGGGGGAGTGGCGGCCCCCCAGCATGCATGCCTGGCACCCAGCGCCTCTGCCCCGTCCTCAGTAGCAGAGCCCGCTCCTTACCGGGAAGTGAAACCAGAAACTGAAGCAGGACTGGTCTGGGGTGAGAGCCGTATTCCTGTTGAGCATCGACCTCCCCCCGGGGAACAGCCCCCGGCTCCTGGTCCGATGCCCATCCAGCTGCAGGGTGTAGGTGAGATTGACGACCAGGGGCCCTGGGCAGGGTCAGAAGGGCAGAGGTAAACAGAGGAGGGCCCTGAGCCATTAACCAGAGGAGGGGTGGGCAGGGGCTGTAGGGAGCCAAACCGCGCTGACCTCGGAACTGGGGGACGAGAGACTTGACCTGGAAACAGGTGGTGATGTTCACCCCTTCCTTCTTCCCTCCGGAGGAGGGGGAGCATTCCACTTCGTGCACCGGGATCTCAGCCGGAGAGTAAGCCATGGAAGTGACGATGTCCACCACCGGCCGGGAGCTGCGGGGCAGAAACAAGCATGGCCTTGACCTCTACCTCCGCAGGAGCCAAGGTGCACTGCTCTGGGCCCTCTCACAGCGCCAGGGCCCAGAGCCATCTCTGTTCTAAAGCAGGCTTCAAAGTCGATACTTCCTCCCAATAGTCGCAGCAATTACCCACGACGGTTCCCCTCTCCACCCTAGTGTCCTCCGAGCCACTTCCCTCTGAGAGTCTTGCAAAGAGAAGTCATCTGGACTCTAGGGATGGCACATGACACTTAAATAAAATCCAAACGTTCACTGCCCGTGCCCCGTTGGCTGCCTGTGAAATCTCAGCTCCCTAGTTCCAGCCACAATGGGGTACTCGGTTCTCGGAACACGTCGCACTCCCCCATATGATGTCATGGGAACCCCGGTGTCGCAGTGCTTAGGTATTGGGGTATTAACTATAAGGTCAGCAGTTCGAAACGACCAGGCAGCTCCGAGGGAGAAAGGTGAGGCTTTCTACTCCTATAAAGAGGGACAGTCTTGGGAACTGATATCAAAGAGATCAAGAAGAAAGAAAATGTTTTGAAACTGATGGTGGTAGCAATTGTACAATCAGGCGTGATCTATTTGCATTATGGAGTGTCGTGACATCCCATTGAAATGATGAATAATAATCGTCAAAAGAGTCACAGATTTGGAAGCTCACAAGGCCTGTCCTACAGGGTTGCTGTGAGTCGGCATTGACTCGATGGGAATGAGTTTGGCTTCGGTTTACCTGATGGCACCTGTTGCTCCCAACAGTTCTAAGATGTGGGGGAGGCAGAGGATGCCCCTAGGGTTTCCGGGAGGAGGAAACTCAGGTCTGGAGAAGCTACGTGACTAGAGAAAGATCGTTCAACTGTGAATGGCAGGGCTTCCCACTGGCTCCAGGTCACCAGGTCCTAGGGCCCTGTCTTCATGCATGACACATAGTGCTTCTCCGGGCAGGTTCAGTGTCAGGTGCTGTTCTTAGCTGCCAGCAAGTCCGTTCGTAGGCATCGTGATCGTATAGGTAACCGAGGGGAGCCCTGCTAAGTCCTGTGACATCCCGGCCACTCTTCTCACGGTTAAACCCATGGTGGCAGTCACTGTGGCACTCCATCTTGTCTTCCTCTTTTTCTCGGACCCTCTATCAAGCATGAGGCCCGTCTCCAGGGCCTGGTGTGAGGTAGGCTTGGGCTAATCCCAGTTCTGCCTCTGACCAGCACCTGTGCAAGGTGGAGTGAGACAGGTAGCCCCGGAGAAGGAGAGCCTCGCTCACAGGATGAGGAAAGACCAGATGAGCCTAGGACGCTAGTGCCTCGCTCAAAAGGGTGGCAGCTGAAGTGACCCACGGATCAGGGTCAGAAGGCCCGTCTCACCTCAGTACGATCACCTGACCCTCAGCCCCCACGGCCACATCCGGCAGACCGTCCCCGCCGAGGTCCTTCCCTCCGTGGATGGAGCGTCCGAACCACTGAATTCCTGAGAACACCTGGGTCCCCTTTATTCGCTGAAACAACGAAACGTAAAGTCAGGCCAAGCTGGGGGAGGACGGGCTGAAGGAAGGGGAGAAGCAGGCTGGAGGGTGAGGCTGGGCTTGGGGGCCCCGAGGGGTCTGGATCTGGGTCTATGATTGGCAGGCAGGGTACTTCACCTGGCTCGGCTGGGGGCTGAGCCCACCAGGCTGCCCGTTGAAGATGTACAGAGCCCCCTGCTCCTCCAGGGGGGCTCCCACAGCGACATCCATCAGGCGATCCCCATTGATGTCCGAAAGGGCGGCGATGGCTGCTCCAAACCGCCCCAGGGGGTAGCCAGGGGCCCCCTGCAGCTCCAAGACCGCTTTGAACCCCAGCTGGGAGGGAACCAAGAGACGGGTCACTCCACACCCAACCCACTCAGCCATCGCCACCAGAATGTGGTCTGTGTGACGGTGAGGAAGACGAACAAAATCCAAAGTGGCGCCGCCGTTCAGTGCCACTTCCATCAGTGGGACCTGGCGGCTTTGGAAAGCGCCCTCCTCTTGCTGAGCCTCAGGGCCCCCTCCTTCTGAAACCTGCAGTGCCTTTGAAGGTGACTGAGAGGGTCCAATGAGGTTGAGATCCATGCAAACCCACCACAACCATTGTGTTGGTTCTACTTCCTAGTCACCCCACAGGGCAGCGTAGAACTGCTCGGCCGGGTTTCCCCGGCTGGTGGGTCCAAACCGCTGACCAAGGAGTGACCAGTGATGCCATCGGGGCTCATTCAAATGAGGTTAGATATACAGACATATAAAAGGGTGGGACTGGGGCTTGCCCAGAGTCCATTCCTAGTGAGAATTCTCTACTGCTGGTCTGCGGTTCTAAACGTTTGATTGAACACACGATCCAACCTGACAAGTTTTTTTCCAGAACAACTGGGACCCGAATGGGCCCAGGAACCTGCTTCTTCCACCGCCTTGACTCACTGTCCTCTGACTCAATGTCCCCACCTGTTTTCTCTGGTGGACGAACACGCGGCCTCCTCTCTGGTCCCCGTAGAACAGCGGGGCTCCAATCAGCAGCAGCTCTGTCTGCCCATCTTGGTCCATATCAAGGCCACACAGCTCCCCACCAAAATAAGAGCCAATCTGTAGAAAGAGCAATACGTTGGCGGAAGAAGAGCCCGGAATCTCAGAAGACGGCACGCCACCTCCCTCGCTATCAGCTGAAGCCATTCCATCTTCTAGCCCCTGCGAATGTCGATCCAAATCCTGGCTCCACCCTTTCAGGAGCCTATAGGAACAGGACAGGTTGAGCTCTTTGCCGTTCAGTTCTGGCAACCAGAACCTGGCAACGATTAAGCCTCCCTCCGAGGTCTCTGGGAGAAGCCAACGCAGTCGTGTTTGTACAGCACTTAAGCCAGGCGGTAAGAGGGTGAGTGGGCACAGGATGGCAGGGACGACGGTGAAGGCTGCGTAGCCCCTGGTCTGCACATGTCCCTTGGCTGTGCTCACCTGAGTGCCATCAATTTTTTGGACCTGGCTCCAGTTTCCTCTGCCCTCTGGCTCTTGGAACAGCAGCACCTGCCCCACATGCTGGTACCGGGGGGCTCCCACTGCCAGCAGTGACCTGTTCTCCTGAGAGGGCAGCCAGGTCACGGAGTAACCTGAGGAGCAAGAGAGTCAGGGAGTCGGAGGGAGGAACACAATGGATATTGAGAGAAGGCAAAACTCAAAGGGAAAGGATGAGAGGTCCTGGGAGGGTAGGCTGGTGACAGAGGTCCTCTGAGACCGCCAGGAGACCGCCCCCTAAGACAAGGAGCCACCAGCTGTGAGCGGCTCGGCCTGCACCCCTGGAAGAGGCAGCCACACACCACAGGACAAACGGGGTGCTCCTCTCTGGGGCTCAGTCAGCCGGTGAGAGAGGCTACGTGAACAGAATATGTTGTTTTTCCATACTAAAATAAACCACTGGTAGATCAGTAAGACGATTCTAGAGCTTGTATAAATATTTTAAACCCCAAATATGGGTTATTGGTGGTGACTAGGCAGGCGAGAGAAGTGAGGACACAGTGCTTAGGGGCCACTGATCTCAGGGTGATGGGCAACAAATGAGGCGTGACGATGTTGGAAGGACACGCCGAGCATACTGATGTCACCACATTGTCACGTGACGAGGGTGACACGCAACTGTTTTGCTCGTTGTATGTTTACCACGGACTAAGTCCAAGAAACAACTGCAAGAGAAGGGAACCCCCTTTGACGCCTAATGGCACCCCTGCAGCCGGTCTTCACACTTCACCCCCACCTGGGACAGGGGCTCTCTCCCACCCTGGGCCCCACACTGCAAACAACCTCAGGACATGCCGTAAGCAACTGGAGCAGGGACTGGGTTCATACCAAGGACCCCCCAGTAGGAATGTTCTGATGCCTGGGTCCCATCTGATTTACCCTGCTTTGAGCAATTGAATGTGAGTGAGGGGAGAAAGGGGGTGGGGGCAGGGGAGTGAGAGGGGAGATCTCCAACACCTATGCCCAGGAGACTGCAGCACCAGCTGCTCACCCATCAGCTGTTTCAAAGGAGAAAGAGGAAGCCTTCTTCTGTTCCTGTACAGATTTCCAGCCTTGGGGACCCACAAGGGATGGCTCCACTGCTCCACGTGGGGGGCTACGAGGTGGAATTGACCCAAGGCGGTGAGCTTTGGTTTGTTTTACTTTGTTTTCAGTCTTTTATATATGTGAGAGGAAGGGCATCGAGACC